TCTTCATCAAAACAAACTTTTATTGTATCATCCATTCTCAACAGTTTTTTCCTACGTGTCAGACAAATACTACTGTGCCTCTTTGATGTGCTAGTTCCAGGCTTTTGATGGACATTGTTTTCTGTTGTGTGGCCTGCTATTTGGAGTTTTGCAAAAACCCTATTTATAATATAGCAAGGCAGAACTATTACTGCTGGTGGAGATTTTCTTCCTCTTCCAATATTCATCTCTCTTTTTCTCTCTCTCTCATTCAGTGCTTCAGTCTGTTTCTGTCTCAGCTACAGTTTTGGTTAGTTGGCGGTTGTCCTTTAATTAGAGTAAACAAATGTATGTCAGTTTATATGTTCCATTTTTCATTGTCCCCGTTACACAGTACCAAACTTGGTTGCAGGAAGAAGTTGCCAAGCAGGATAAAATATGTGAGGAGGCATATGACGGCTCCAAGGATGAAAGCATCTTACACATAGGACACTCGACTTCCCCTGGTGAGGTACACAGTCCCTTTATTTAAAAAAAAAAAAGACACTTGTTTGTACAGAGGGCACACACGTTCAGAATCCAATACAGTCATTCAAACCAGTAATTCACTAACTAAGATACGCAGCACTGAATTTCATTTTATCCACATGTTTCTAATATTCTTCCCCCTTGTGTTTGCAAATGGTGTGGGTAAAACATTACATACCCCTCAATTTAATGAAGTCCAATGCAAACTACAATCTCAGTAATAAGCATATGGTTTAATGAACACCTTTCTCAAAGTGTCAATCACACCTGAGCGTCATAGTCAAAGGTACAATTTATGGCAGCGATGTTGTGTTGGACTATGTTAGATTTTACAGGTGTACTGTACCTAATAAAGTGATCACTGTATGTTGATATTAAAAGACATTTATATATACAGTATGTGGTAATGATTTCTACTATGTCATCCAGTTCTACAATGATTATTGAATTGATTTTGCTCAGAATGTTTTAATCTGTCAGGGTTAACATACCTGACCAGAGTTAAAGGCTAAAAAGAAACACTTAAAAGATAGTGAGTTAAGTAGTTCGTGGTGGTGGGCAGGGCGGTATGGAGAGTTTGACAGAGAGAATATGTCAGCTCAGTCTCTTGGGAACAGTGAAGCCCACATGGTGTTGTCATGGTATGAAGGAAACGAGTGACACATGAACAAAACCAGCTCCCCCTTTCACTGCGCCTGTCTCATCAGTCCCCCCCGATCATTTCTCCATCGCCCCATATTCACTGACATTGCCCCCCCCACCCCCTACCCCAGCTTGCCGGGCCTTTTTTCTTTTGCCTCACATTTACAACTGACATCCACTTTTCCCCATCTGCTGTCCCCTTCAGCGGGGCCATTTTCCTGTCTGAAAGGAAATGACAAAAGTCGCTACATCCATCCTTCATCTCTATGTCACCTGTTGTTTATTTAAATCCTCTTTACTACCAGTTTATTCTTTATTTATTCTTGTGTATACCACACCCACTTTCTCCTTTCTTTCTACACTTTTTTTTGTCCCCCACTACTTTGTTTCCCATCGTAGGAGCTGAGCATATTGGCATGTTACAGTTGAGTGGGCCTGCTTGCGTTTCTCTGATGTATAACAGTGGGAGGTAATGGATTCAGTCGTCGTGTTTGGGTGGGGTGCGTGCGCTGCACCATGTACCCCTTTCCCTGACTAATGGGGCCCCCAGGCAGAAGAAGGGGGTTTGTTTTTGTGTGTGTGTAAAAAAGAAAGAGGAGAGAGGTGTGCACAGTTTGAGGCAGTCCCAGAGAAAGAACTTGTACTCGTGTGATTTTTTTTTTATTGAGACTAAGTGGAATGAAAAAGTGTTTTTGTGTGTGTGAAAGAGGGAGAGAGAGATAATAGTGCACTGAGCACTCAAGCACTATTGTACCAATTACGAGAAAAAAAATTGTCTACATATAGCCAAATTTCAGTTTTCAGAGTAAAAAACTTATTTAATTCCTGTGTAATTTATTCACTTTATGAAGGACATCTGAAGGAGACTTTGAGGTCCAGGAGCTGTACAACTGTAACTGGATTGTGGTCAACTGTTCCACGCCTGCTAACTACTGTCATGCGCTCAGATGACTGCCATTCAGAGAACCAGTAAAGCGTAACATCATCTTCAGTATTTTATCACTGCCTTTTGTTTAGCTCCAGTTTGTACTTATGTATTTACAGTTTATACATTTGCATAGGTTGCATTCAAACATTCAGAAACGTACTGTAGGTAACCCTTGAGAGGATTTACTGAACTCATATAGTGTACAAATGTGGTTTGGTATGTTTTTATTAAGTACTTTGAACCTCTAAGGTAGCAGTAGTTTGGGTTGAAAGTTTTGGGATGTAAAGCTTTTCTGTTTTTTGTATATGCACAGCTGTTTTTTCAGTCGCTCAGTTTTCAGCCACAGTGAATGTCTTAAATGATCCCCTGTCGCACATAAATGCACTGCTTTGCCAAGCATGAGAAAATTACTTCCAGAGCAAATTAGTGAGAAGGCCAACAGGGGATAATATTGTTAGTTTTTCATGAAAAAACTCTGAAATTCTGGACTTGGTTGGCTGAGCACGAAAGGATTTATTTATTTAATTGTCAAAGAAATGTTTTGTTTTCCTAATGCTGATGTTGCATGCTATTTGGTAGCAACAAATCAGTGTGAAAACAGATAAAAACTTTAATCTCTGGAGTTTTTTTCAGTATGTACAATGAAGATCCAGGTGACCGAATCAATCTTTTGTTTGTTACTGGCAAAAACCTAGATGCAAGATCCAGTTTTGATGACCTCGACAAAGGTAGAATTGCACTTTATCTTTGTGAAATGTAACATTAATATTGATCTGCAGTAAGAGCAAACATACCATAGTCAATGTGTGCAGTTACTACATTTCAAGAGGATAATTCCTGATGACAGTCCTGCAGGTCAAGGCTTAAGCCAAGTGAGGGGAGTGATCTTTCTGCTATCATAGTCTACTATGAACTGACTAAAGAGAGAAAACAGCAAAGCTTGGAGAAAGTTTTGAACAGGTGTTTTTTTACTGTCTAAGCATGTCATTCACTGTGGATTTTGAAGTGGGTGTTATACATTTTCATCATTTCTTCTTCAAGCTATTGTTTAGGCTTCTAAATCAGATTGCTCCGTTCCTGTTTGACAGGCAGTTTCATTTAGAACAGGACAATCTACTTATTAAATGTTCACATTTTTACATCTCTTTACATTTGTGACAATCTGGAGCATAGCCTAGTGTTTTTAACATCTTTTTATCCTTTGATAACCTTATGTGAAAGGTAAGTTGGCAGCACAAACTGACATGTGCCTGGGTCAGGCTAAATAATGTATTTACAGTATATGCTTCGAGATAGTCACTATGTCACATTATCTCTGTTCTCTGACTTGGACGAGAGTCATCTTTGCATTGAATCTCTACCAATCAGCTTGCAGACTTTCATGACTTGCAACAAAGTTGGTGTTAGAAGCATCATCACAGAGATCATCATAAATATTAAACTGGGTGAGTGATGTCCAAGGATAAGATGTCCTAGATGCAGAATCAGTTCTCTTCAACTGTAGCAAACTCTATGAACAGCACATTTTTAAGTGTTAAAGAGTACACTCACTATAACCCTAATAACACTCACCAAAATTCTGACTTGTGGAAATACCCGTTACTGCAGTAGCGTTAGTGCTGTAGATACTTCCATTGAGGCAGATTACTAGTATGTAATGATAGTATTCATTTGTATTTGCATTGATTTTTGTAGATGAAGCTGAAGCTATGAGACACACACAAACCACAGCCTGGTGTGCAAAGGCTTGAAGACTGTTCTTAAATTAAGCACATCAGTAGATTTAGTGCCTGTATTTGCTTTGGTCTACCTTGTGTATTTGTTGTCACACCTCACTTCACCAGGAGACATGAGCCAGCTGGCACAGAGATTTGCAGCCATGTTTTTTACTTAGGACATAAGGCTCGACTTCCTCTTTGGAGCCTGAGGGATCCTTACACACATACATACAAACACACACACATATGACCACAGCAAAGCCTTGAGTGCTTTGAGAGCAATATTGATGCTTGGTTGTCACATTAAAGCCCTCAGGTGTTTAATGGAGTTGATATTAGTTACTACTGTGCATAAAAACTAATATTAAGCTTCTTATTTAACTATACTGTAGCTTATTTTTTCCGCTTAGAGATGGGAAATTTAATCATAAGCCATATGCAAACATCATTTTACATATTTAATTCTTTAAAGGGAGGGGGGGTGTACTTGAATTATGAAAATATATATCCACATATCCATGTGAATACTGCTACATATGCACAACTTGATGGGATTGCACTTACAATTGATATAATGAAATATTTAATATAATATGTTTACACTCAATCAGGTGCTTTGGTTGTTAAGTTCACTTGCATACTGTATCATGCTAGACAGTGTATCTGTGACAAAAGCTGACCAGTTTATTATGGGCAAATGTTTGTTACTGGACACTTATAAAATCCTCACCTATCACCCTCTGACCATCATCTACCTACAGGACGTACCTTGTTGCCTCCAAGCTCCCAGTGCACAGTGGACTACACATGGCTGACTAGTTGTTTGTGGATCCACAAATCAACTTAGTAAGCTTGCACTGGAATTTTATTAACTGTTCTCAGGTTATCTGTGTGTCCATATAATTTGTGGTAATTACATAGCTTAAGAATATGCATCATGATGTGATAATAAATATGTTTAAACCGCCTCTAAAAGACTGGTCCACGAGATACTGCAGTGCCACCTTAGCTGATATTATACTTAGTTGAAATTCCCATACAAATCTAAAATTACGCACATTACACATGGCTATTATTATTATTGAAGACTATTGTATTGGCAATACTCGGCAATTAAGTGCGTTTATAAAGTAGCCTGTAAGTAATTGTAGCCATGCAGTAGAGGAGGAAAGATATATGCACGAGTGTTATACTGTAATTTTTATTTAAATGCCAGGTTGTAAGAAAACGTTATCCACAGCAGTAGCCGCTTCTTTACAAACGGGGTCCAGTTTTCCATCACCACCTTTGGGGGGAAAAGCACAACAGGTTGCCAGACGGAACATTGCTCAATGACATCACCATAACGCAACATGCAACCTATGTTTTCCGTCACTAACCAAACTCACCAAACTCCAGCTGCTTTATGTGACATCTGAAGACGAGCTGCCCATTGACCACGAGCTCCACCATGTTCCACTCCCGTATTTCTTCCAAGATGACCTGGTACCCACGCGCTCTCAGAGCGGCTGCAGACACACCGGGCGGACAGTAAGGAAAGGCATGCAGATATCCTAATGGGACTCAGATAGGAGAGAAGCATACCCCGGAGACCCTGCAGGCGGAAGGTCCTGTGTTGTACCACTCCGTTTGACTCGTAAGGTCCGTAGCAAAGTGTTACCCGTGCGTTTGTTGACATTGTCTGCTGTAGTTACCTGGGTAACTGTCACACACACAATAAACCTGTTGTTAACACGATCTTCTTTCCAAAAACAAGTCCAGGAATTTGATACACTTGTTAAAAAAAAAAAACCCTGACCTAATAGCCTACATCTGAAATAGGTTACTAACCTCCCAGTAAACCAAACATCAGGCTATGAGGTGTTTATATTGTGAGATAGTCTTAATATGAGAAACGCAGATTCTGAAAAGCAGTTTTATTTTTCAAATAACACATGGTTTTATTAGCTAATTCCACTTAATTAACAAATATATGCCAATTAGGACTTAGAGTTGCATAAATTCAAGAAATCTTATATATAATATATAATGCAACTTATCCAAAAAATGAGAGCAGCTGCTGAAACGCTTAGTTGCTTCAGTGCCTGTAATGTGCACAATGTAATGTAAGCAATGTGTACATTTTTTATAAAACATAATTAGAGTTGATTTCTAAAAGCTCAAACACAGATAAACACTGCTGTGTAAACAGTAACATGAACAGAAGTCTTCAGTTTGGTTTCTTAGTTTTAATTAACTGCTGTATACAGTTTGATATAAATACAATATTTTGAGAGTCAAACACAGTGATCACCTCTGCTTAATAAGTTTCATATACTTACTTTTACACCCTGTAATATTAGGTTATATCATATAAAAATAACTTAATAGATTATTATACTTATAAATTTACAAATACACAATTCTTAAACTAGAAAAAAATACTTTTAAAATCATAAACTATGTATTTACACAAGCACATTGTAACTCAAAGAATGCAGAATACAGTACGTTATAAACTGAATGAAGGAATGATTTTTGAACTGATATTTTAGTAATGCATATATTTTTGGAACAATAGCTAGCGATTTATGAAGACAGCATAAACAAATTGCATAGAAACATGTAGTCAATGTACTATAATCTTCAGAAACTCATTGGATAGCAGCATGCAGTTGGTGCAAGTTATATACTGAGACAATCAGCCATTTGTCATTTCTCACTCGTAGACAGCTTTTGTTCTTCCAAATTACAGCACTAAATGTACTTCTTTCATTGATTCATTTCAGTTTAGTGCAAAACAATAAATCAAAAGCCCCAATTTGGCTAAAACTTGTATCTATGTACATTAATCCTCTTCACAGACATTTCAGCCCCTGCGGTATATTGGTTACTTTTGTAACAACAGCAAACAATGTCCTCTATATTAAGCAAACTATCATTATTCTCTAATAATACATAGGCTAGATTAGATTATTACCAGTACTTGATACAATTTACCATACATTCAAATAGCTTTACATAACATGTTATGTCACAGTTACAGTGTATATTTTTTAAATGACTCAACAGGAACACACTTCAAAGCACAAAAACACATCATTAAAGTCTCACCCCAACTTTCTTCACTGGAATGATTTGCCTCCGTTCTTCAGTGCCTCTCCCTGTGATAAGGTCTGGGTTTGGGCCTCCACCCTATTCTGGTCTGCTCTCTTCACCAGAACCTGTGGCAGCGTTGGCTGATTCGTGGTCAAGGTAGATGGCCTCTGTGCCGTTTTGTTCTGCCAACTTGTTTCTGTTTGTGTATGAGTCTCCAGTGTCTGGCCTTTTCTTTGCCCATTCGGATCGGAGCCTGAATTACATTTGTTGAACAGCTCCCTCATGTCCAGGAGTCCCTGCACCAGGCACTTGACAAATTCATCTGAACATGTCTCTGGACTCTCGTGGAAACTGGACACAGAAAAGATAATGTGGTCTGACTGAGGGTTGTAGCACGCTCCGTATCCATTTGGAACCACGGGTCCATAGCAGCAGAACATCTCGACAGTAGTCGGGACCTGAGGGAAGAATGAATGTGTCAGTGCTGTAATCATGGTTTTAAGTTAGTTTCACTTTATGTTTTAACATCAGATGACTCTACCTGACTCGTAGAGAGAATAAACTGATTACTGATGAGATAGACTTCATCTCTGAATATATCTGGCTTCTCCATCTTCATTTCATGTGCAATTTCACGTAGTCCTAGTAGATGATTGTCTATAGCCATCCCTGTAATAGCCTGAAAAACAAAATGCACAATGTCTGTTATTTTATAAGGATAATCAACATTACAATAGTGTATATACGTAAATGAATGAGATGATAGAATAGTTACCAGAATAGTATACTTTGTCTGTGCAGTAATGGCACTTCGTAACATCTCCATCTTTTCTTTATCCTGCAAAAGTAAACAACTGAGAATCATTACTAGGCCATTAACTCTCCTTTACATGAAGCATAGTGTTTTCATGGTGAAGAATTTCAACACTGAATGAAGTAGAAGATTAATTCATGCTATTAAGAGCAAGGAAAATTGACAGAAAACTATCATTGGCTGTAGTGTTCACACTAAAAGGTCTTACACTTGTGCTGAGTTTCCCATCAGTCATTGCTTTAACAAACGCCAGGGCCTCAGCTGTGGCTGAGCGGATGTTGTCCACTCTGCCTTCCTGAAAACGTCGTATGGAAGCACTCTCATAGGTTGATACTGGCCTACCATGACATCTAGAGTAACACACAGATAGAAAGTCTTAGCTTGGAGGCCTGGGTTTATGATGCATAAGAGAACAGGCCCTGTAGTACTGAACTCTTTCTTACCGGTAGTAGGCTAACTGAAGGGCAACCTGGATGTAGGCATCTGGGCTCATTTTCTG